GCCCTCGGGAACGGCTGGCCCAGCAGTGCCTCCTGCTCATCCTCGCCCTTGGGTTTAAAGCCAGCGCGCCCACGACAGCCGCTCCCCGGTCTCCTGTGTCCCAGCGGGAGATGATTAATGGCCTACCTGCTCCAATGTGTTGTATTTAGGTCTATCCCCAAGCAGATAGATTTTTCTTTCCAGATAAAGTGAATGCGGGCCTTTCCCGGGCTGCGGGTCCCTGGCGGCCCCTCCCGGTTGGCAGCCTGTGTTAGGGGGCTCTGAAAGGTAAATGAATTGATAAGGTGGTGGGGGAGGGGACAGCTGTGCCTTCAGTGGCTCTTGTAAACAGTGTAAAGTCACCTTGATGTGCTGGGACTAATGACACTGGAGCAAGCCAAATGGAGTCCGGCGGCGCTGAGCTAGTGGAGGAGCCCGTGTCCCTATGGCGCTGCCAAGGGCCACCTCCCTCTGCCTGTGTCTTTTCTGCATGGTGGCGCACACTCAGGTGACTGTCCCACACCAGGTGCAAGACCTCCTGAGCTTCCAGTTGCTTCCTCTGTAAAAGGGGACATTAGGGGTTGAAGTGTGTCTCCCAAGATGATGTTGAAGTCCTAACCCCGAGTACCTGTGCATGTCCCCTTATTTGGAAAGAGAGTCTGCAGATGATGAAGTCAAGATAAAGTTATTAGTGTGGGACATCATCCGATGGCTCGTGTCCTCATAAAAAGGGGAAACTTAGACACAGAGATGGCACACAGGGATAATGCCGTGGGAAGCTTAAGGCAGAGATAGGGGCCATGCAGCTACATGACAAGGAAAGCCAAAGGTCACCAGCAAACCCCGCAGGCCGGGAGAGGGGCTGGAGACAGGTTCTCCCTCACAGCCCCCAGAAGGAACCGACCCTGCTGATACCTTGGTTCGGGACTTCTAGCTTCTAGAACTGTGAGCCAATGCATTTCTGTCATTTCAAGCCACCCAGGATTTTGGTGTGTTATTACACAGCTCTTGCAAACTAACACGGGGACTGATACTCCTCCCTGTGGGTGCGTGGTGAGAACGTGACAAGGAAACCCACGAGTCCACGGCAGGTGTTCACAAGTAGTCACTGATTTCTAAGGCTGGGAGGCTCACCCCCAGACCCAGAGGTAACGGAGTGGGGTGGAGGTAGGCAGCGGGCCAGGCAGACCACACATAATAAAACGTGCTGCAAAGCAGTCGGCCTCCTTGTTTCCACCGAGTAGACACATCAGGTTAAAAGTTTAGGAGGGGCCGCTTGCTGTGTGACTCTGTTTATATGCAATATCCAGAGTAGGCAAATCCACAGAGACAGAAAGCAGAGGCTGGGGGTCCCCGAAATTCCTGTGTTAAAGTGATAATAAATTTCTTGTGTTTATGCCACCCTGTCTGCAGCGGTTTGTTGTGGCAGCCCCGGCAGACTTACACATGGGGCAATGGAAGGTGGCTGCTTGGTGTGTATGGGGTCTCTTTTGGGCGTGATGAAAATGTTCTGGAACTAGATAGCTGTGCAACCTCGTGAATGTACTGACCGCCACTCAATTGTGTACTTTAAAACGATGACTTCTCTCATGTGGGGAATTGAAAAAGGTTGATCTCACAGAGGAGGAGTAGAATAGTGGTCACCAGAGGCTGGGAAAGAGGGGGATGGGAGAGGTTTGTTATTGGGTCACAGACAGACAGGAGGAATGAGTTCTGGCGTGCTAACGCACAGAGGGGTGATTATGGCATGCATAACAGTGTGAATGGTATATTTCAAAATAGCCAGAGGAGAGGGTTTTAAATGGTCTCATCACAAAGAAATGATGAATGTCTGAGATGATAGAAATGCTAAATACTCTGATTTGATCATTACACAGTGTATATATATGTATAAAAATGAATATGTATCAAATGAATATGTACAATTATGAGTTAATTAAAATATCATATAAATGGTGAATTTTATAATGTTAAGAAAAAATACATGTTGGACACTAAAAAAAAAACGTTAGGAGGGAAAACTCAAGAAGTCCCAGAGGAGTTGGCATCACCTTTGAAGGAGGAGGTAGAGTGCATAATCTCACGGAGTGATAGATGAAGTAATCAGGGTTGCAGTGATATTAATATTTGGGTTGCCTTTTTGAAAAGCCATGTTCTGGTCAACTGCTGAGTGGTGGGTGCAAGGCAGAATGCTCAGCTGTCCTGGGACACCACGGTACTCAAGGTGGCAGAGCATCTCTGGGGAAAGCAGTCGGTGGTAGAGGAAGGGGTGAGAGTGTCATGAACCTGGCTCTTGGGTGGCAGGGAGAAAGATTTGGGACTCTCTGGACTTTCCTATTCTTCTCTGCACCTGCTTTTGGGCCCACACTCTGAAACTCCAACAGTCCCCACACAGTCTTTTCTTCCTGACCTCTGACCTCTGGCCAGGCTCTGCATGTCTCGCCAGTGGGTACTGCCTGTCGGTGCAACCTCTAGTGTCTAGGGAAGAAACAATGCAAGCTTGAGTGTCACGGCCTACGTGGGCAGGGCCATGTCCAGAGTGAACAAAGGGGTGCACATGGGCCTGCTAATGGCACCCAGAGCATTTTACAGAGGACCCTGGGTGTGCTAGGCACTGCTCTAAGCATCCCCTGTGTTGAGTCATTTTCTCCTCATGGCAGTTTTAGGAGGTAGACACTAAGAATTCTACATTGCAGGTGAGAAAACTGAAGTGCACAAAAATTAAGGGATTTCCTCAGAGTTTCCCAATAAATAGAGTGTCCCGATCCAGAGTCTGTGCCTTAACCGCCAAGTCAGATGGGCTCAGGGTGTCTGTATGTGCATCTGCTCCGGGTGGTGCTGAGGGCCTGGCCCTTGAAGTGGGAGAGATTTTATGATGAGAAAGTGAAGCCACTAAGAGCCTCCTGAAAGCAAAGGCCTTTGGTCTCCTGTGACGACAGCCTGTCCTTCACCAGAGCCCTGTGTGAGCAGGGAGATGCCACTGCTCACCTGCCTGGGACAGCCTCGAGGGCGGGCACCAAGCCTTGGCTCAGTCGGGAGAGTTGAGCCTGAGACTGTGGGATGAGTCGGAAGTGGGCAAGAGATAAAGCCCAAACCAAGGGCTTCCCCTTGAGCAGAGTGGCTGGACCCAGGTGCGGAGCCCTTGCTTCAGACAGGCCGCGGTGCATGTGGCTCGAAGTCCTCCGAGAGGCTGCGTGGCTTCTGCCAGAGACAGGTGAGAGCTCAGTGAGGATCCAGATGGGCACAGCTGGGGAATTTGAGGAGAAAGCAAATCGTGAAGGGAAGTCCTTGGTCTGCATCAGAAGAGAAAGGCTCCCCGCGGGAAGGAGCCTGGTGGTGAATGTGTGTGCCTGCGTGGCTACAACCCCGGTCATCGGCACGGAAATCTCTCTAGACCCTGTCTCTGCAGGGTTACCTGCCTTTCCAGCAACTGAGCTCGTGGAGAACCCCGTGGGTGGCCAGGCATGATGAGAGGGGCGTGGTGGGTGGCCAACCACTGACCGCATGGACCGGGTGCCCAGAAGCACAATGGTTCTCAGACAAGACTACAGGTGAAGACATGGCTGGTCAGACTACACCTGCCTGAAGTTCCACTCCCAATTCTCGCCCTTCCTAGGGGCACTCTCACAATACAGACATTGCTAGAGAGAGTCTTGGTCCAAAGGAGTGACTCAAATGGTAGTATCTCAGGTATCACTCATTCATTGGCTCAGTCAATCCATACTCAGGAAGGTCTGTGAGTCAGGTATCATGGTGGCACCGGGGCTGCAGCGGTGAATAAGACAAACACATGGTCTTCACCCTCTAGGAGCTGATAGTCCAGTGACAGGTTACTGGTGGAAATATTTGAGGTTCTGCCTATTAGAAGGCTTTTGGCTTCAACAGCTCAGGTACCATTCCATCCCCATAGTGTCTGTTAACCTGGAGAGTAAGGGATTGGATCCAACATGAAGAGGAGGTTTATCTTCATTTTTATTTTTTTTTAAATTAGGGATCGGGAAGTCTTAAGGGTTATAAAGTGCCTGTCCCTTCCTGCACCAGCAAGAGGCTGGTCCCATGAGCCCTCTTGAAGGGGAACCTCGCCTGAAATTCTGCCAATATTAACATGCACGAGTAACCCAGGAAATCGAGGCTGATAACTCTGTGTGATCAAAGCAAGTGGGTTTCCAGATGGCAGACGGGAGTCCCCGGGGTAGTCTGTGCTCACCTGGTTAACTGGTGGACAACCCATATTTGTGTCACTTCTCTACGGTTCTTCCACCTTCTGGAAACTTTGCCCCTTGGCTTGGCTTTCAGAGCTGGGCTGGCCTGTCCCAGGGAAGCTGCCCCGACTTTGTAGAAACTGGGGCAGGCAGTGTTTCTTAGAGACCCTGCAGTATCCCAAAGATCCAGTATCCCAAAGAGTGGGGCTCATTTTGTGAAAAAGAAATCTTTTCAGATGACTTGATTGCCTAGGAAATCTTTCTGGGAAAAGCAGAGACACCAGCACCCCAAGGCCTTTCAACTTGGGGCAGTGCTGCTGGGAATGCCATCTCCTGGCCTTTGCAAAGGCGCTGCCCCACCAGCCACCTGCGCTTTCTCACCCTCCAGGAGCCTCTGCCCGGCCCCCAAGAAGCCGGCCGGGCCCTGAGCTAGGAAGGCTCTGCTCCCTCTCTGCCTCTGATTTGGCAGGAGGAATGGAAACTTTCGTGGAAAGCACTTGAGCTGACGAATGCTCCCAAGTCAGGACTTTGACTCCAGCCCTGACAGGGCCACGGGCTCAGGATCCAGGGGGGGCCTCTCCTTCTGGAGGTCAAGACCTCCCACCCCGGCTCCGCCCCTCGCTCTCCCCCGACCATCAATCACCAGCTCTCCCGTGACCCCGGTGACAGCCGCACCACTAGAGAAGTCATTGTCTTTTGCACACCCCCCTTTTTCCTTGCCCTCCCCCCAGTTCCTCCTCCCCTTCATTATATATTTTTCTTCCTCGCTTCCCTGTGCCCATCAGCGGCTGTGGAGTCTGCATGGGGCTCGGTGGGATTGAAAGTCTAGAGCTTTTTGCTGTTTTGTTTAAGACCTGGTTATGGTTGTGGGATTTTTTGTGTGTGTGTGTCAGCTGCCTGTTATATCAATCACGGAGTCCGGATCTATTTATAGGTTGGGAGTACTGTGTCCTTAGTCACAAAGAGACACAGACAGGGGACTGTCAGCTGGTGCCGCAGGAGCGGAGCAACGAGTCACCAGCAACTGGGAACACCTGAGGGGCAGACGGTCCACACCAGCCCCGTCCTCCTCGCAGCCAAGCATGTAAGTCACCGAACTTCTCCCTTCTCCTCCCCCAGACTCTGCCCTGCATCTTTCTGTCCTTTTCCCCACACACACCCCCTCTCTCTCCCTCTCTCTCTCAATGGATAAAAATACCTCCCCATGCGTGCTCTCTCATCCTGCTTTTCCACACTCCAAAGCATCCCCGTGTGGCCGAGAGGAAAATGTTGTCTTTCTCAGCCTGTCTCGGGAAGGTCAGAGGGTCTCGGGATGGCTGGGCGGGACGGGTGACACAAACTCCTTTGGAATCAGTAGCTCCCTTTTATTTTTATTTGTTTTCACTGAGCAAAAGTAAGCACGTCCAAAGGGCCAGGGAAAGTTTACGTGCGGCTCGGCGGGGTGCTTATGTCTCCCAGCGTGAAAAGTTTTATTTGCCGGCAGCTGGCAGCTCCCGTGTTTGGTGAGCTGGGGAAGGTTACAGTAGGGGAAGACCCAGTTCCCACGGGACAGGTGACGGAGGAGGGCCCCTGGCAGACCCGGGCTCACCCTGGGAGCTTCCAGGTTCAAGGAGAGTCACCAAGGGCCAATGACCAGTTTTGCCTGGTACCTCAGAGAAAATGACTTTTTCTCCCCCTCTGCAGCGCGGAGTTTGCTTACAGAAAAGTCGAGCTGGGAGCTGACAATTTGTCCTGCCTCACAGGCTGCCGTTGGCTCCCTCCTTTGGTGTGTTTTCTTGATCCTGAAAGGGGACTTGGGCGGGGGCTGGGGAGCAAGCGTCTCAGAGCGGAGGAGGCCAGGTGTGGAGGGCTGTTGAGTGCAGGGCTCTGCATCCTTCACGAAGCAAGAAACTTAATATCACGGTCTTGTCAAAGCCGTGCTTGTTTCAGACAATTCCAACAGTGTGTGGGCTCTGTGTGCCCATTGGTGGCCCCGGGGATGGCACTCCCCAGCCACTGTCCTGTGCCCAGGGGCTCACCTGCCACGAGCTTCCTGTGGAACATTTGGGACTTTAGTTTCTGGATAATGAATAGTGTTTACCCCAAATCCTGCACTTGGGGAGATTTGCTTTATGGTATTTACAAAAGAATACTGGCCCTAAATTTTGGGGGGAAAATTGCGATGATGACTAATGTATACTATGTACGACTTTTTACACTTACCCCGTCCTTTTTACGGTGGGTTTCTATTTATGTATGCAATGGTTACCATATGCTGTGGTAGGAGGACTACTTCTTGATTTGTTTGGGAAAACAATATCCTAACAGACAATCTTGTCGACAATTTAAAAGCACTAAACGAAGCAAAGAAGTCTGAATTGTTTTTTTTGTTACAAAGTAGTTTTATTAGCAAACCTAACTTGATGAAAGTTAAATAATGTGGATATGCACATCTAAGTTTAGAGAGGCTATTTGATCTCATTTTTATTCTAGCTTCTCTGAAACCTTGACTTTGCTTTGTTCCTCATTTTCACCTGCATTCTATTTAGGGTTATTAATGTCTTACATCCATTCATTCATTATTTTGGAAGGGGTCCCAGGGATCAGGAAGAAAGAAGAAATTAGAAGGTAAACTTCCACGTTCAGGTGGTAAGACCACATCCATCTGTGGAGAAATTCAGAATAAGGAATTTGGTGTAAACAGGGGTAAATGTCACTCTTTAAGACCTAGTATGGAAGGTAAAGTCTAAGGAATATAAGGGAAAAAAAAAAAAACCCAACAATAGGAGTTAAAGTATACTACACATGTAGCACGTGTAATATTTATTTTTCTTATTCCAAGGGACTCTTTTTCGATAAACACATCCTGCTAAGGTTTTCTCACAATAAGGCTGAAGTGGGATTTGGTGGGTTATTGTTAATTAAAGCTCAAGGGAATCAAGTGATTGAGACATTGCATTCAGAAATCAGAGCAGTCCACTGGTGGCAGAGCTGAACTTGTAGGACTTTCAGATCTCACTGGCTTTTAAGAAAAAGTGTGGCATTTTTTTAACCTTTTGGTATGAGAGCAAATCCTTGCCTGCCCTCACTAACAAGCACACTGGAGCCGGCCTGGCCCTCACTCATGGTTGAATGCAGTGGGAGAGAGTCCTGCATTCCTGAACAAGTCCTGTGTTCTCATTAGCCTTAATGGCCGAGAGAGAAGAATATTTGTTGGAACATTTAAGTAAGAACTACCGTTTCCATAGGCTACCTGTTAGATGCTTTTAGGTGGGGTGGGGGCTTGCTTAGCAGTGTGACAGAGGGGCCTGGCTTTCATTCTCTGGTTCGGGATGTGGTTTGTCCCCATTGGGCTTACTTCTAGAGATGCAGTTGGGGGAAACTTCAGTGCATTTGCATAAGGCAGCCTCTGATTACTTAGTTTCTGCTTCAATGACGATTAATTTTATGTGGTCCGAGCTTCCATCAAACTCATTTTTTCCCCAACTGATTTCTTAAATGCAATCGGTCACGGGGCTGTCTGTGACTTCATGTCTGCAAAATCTAACCCATTCCATCCTTGTCATTGTTTATTTCTCTGAATGTAAACAAAAGTCGTGCAGTTGCCTGTGTACCTGCACTGTGGTTTTATGTGCCCCCCACCCCACAAGCCACATAGGAATCCAGTCCTGACCTCCTCCCAAATTGGGGAAAGAGGGGGCCAATGAGCAGGTGCTTTGGAAGACAGCAGGCTCAGGTGCAGGACCATCAGTCTCCCAGAGGAAGGAGCTGTGCACGTACCTGGAAAGTGCTCCCCTAATTCAAACCATTTTACATAGTTGAGGTCTCTCCAAATACCCCATAAATAAAAAATGGCAGCTGGCAGGGTTTTTAAACCAAAGACCACGGGCAGCTCTCTCCCTATCTCTTCTCTCCTACAGTATATCTGTCCATCTTTCTCTTATCTCTATTTTTACATTTCATTATCCTCCCTCTCTTCCTCCTGCTTTCCCTCCCCCCTGCTCGCCTTTCTTGAAAACACATTTCTATCTGGCACAGAAAATAAACTCAGATTGTGGGTAGTTATGTTAATCTAATTCAATCCTCAGCGGGTTAAGAGTGAAATTCTAATAGTGGAGCTGTTGAGGGCTTTTTTGTTAATGGCTTGGGGATTACATTGAGTTAAAGGCTCATTTCCTAATCAAACAGAGAGGGAGAGAGTGACTCCGAATATTTATGAGTCTCCCAGTGAGAGTTTAAACATTCAACTCCAAAAGCAGGGTTTCTGCAAGAGGAAAGAGTTAAAACCCCTCAGGGCTGCTGGGGAAAAAAAAATTAAACCAGTTAAGCCATCAGCATTTCCAGGCTGCCATAGGACTCCTGTGCTAGGTAAAGTGGAAGGCAGAGCAGAGGCAGAGCCGGGAGAGAGGAGCATCTCACAAAGCAAAAATGCAAACTGATGGAAGCTCCGAAAAGCTGGAGTCAGCTGACGGGCTCAGAAATAAGTCTCCCGCAGCCCCGTGGCAGATGCGTCCCCGGTTCACTAAGGGCCTGGAGGGGCTGTGTGCCTTCAACTCCCCAAATCACTTGTGCTCCAGTCCGGAGGTGGGAGCGGGAGACAGGAGTACGGCTCAATTTGCCAGGCGCCACTGGAGACCTCCCCCAGCTGCCCGGTGGGGTTGGAGGAGCAGATCCTCCCCGACCCTGGCCCTGCCCCTGAAATGCTCCAGCTTCCCCTTTGCAAGTCAATTAACGTCTCCACAGGACCCTGCTCCCCCTTTGACCTGCAATTGGGTCCCTGTCCCTCCACCCCTCAGTCCTGCTGCTGGCTGTCTTCACATGAGGACCTCAAAGCCCACCTGGTTCACTGTGCCCAGGTGAACCAGCCAGAGAACTCGAGGGACATCTTGGCCAAGGTCAGGCACCATCAAAGCCAAGCTGAGGTCAGGAGTCTGAGTCCAGGCAAGTGTGTGGCCTCGCTCTCCCCTCATTCTCTGGAGTACAGCAGAGGAGAGGGGACCGTCAGAGCCATATGGCCAGGAGTGAGGGCTCCTTCTTCAGCTTGGAAAGGAAGGGCAGGAGTCCGTGACACAGGCGATTGAATGCTCTGGGAACATTTGTCTTTTTTCCTGCCACCGACCAAGTGAGCAGTTGCTATTTCTTTCACTTGGGCCTTTTCCCCAGCGTCATGAGGCCAGCAGAGGCACCAGGCAGCCGACTTTCTTGCTGTAGGATCTTTGGCTTATTGTTTCCCCTGTGCCTGGGCACTGTCCCCTCTCCTAGTGCTTCCTGCTCACCGGCCTGGGAGTCTTGCGAGTGCCCTTTCGTGTCAAGGTGGCATTTATGACACATGGACAGCAGAATTTCTGTGAACCCTTCCACCTCTTCCTGGGGCTTTCACAGCCCCCAACTTGTCTCCCTCCTTTGCTGCCTCCGCCCCAGTGGTGGGCTCGTTTGTTTCCGTGGGTCCAGGAGTGCCACAAGAGCAGCCACCGTGCCTCATTGCCCCTTGTCAGTCCTTCCCGCCCTCTTCCCTATCACGTGCCTCTGTGGACAGTACAGAGCTGTGGTCACCAGCACGCCTTCTGCGTCAGACAGCCAGGGTTCAAATCCCGGCACCGCCCTCTCTGAGCAATTAAATGCCTCGAGGTCTCACTTTTCCCATCTGCAAAATGGGGACAACAGTAGAACCAACCTCTCGGGCTCTTTGGGAAGATGAAATGCATGGGAAGTGCTGCGCCTGGCGTTGATGCTTCCGTGTGCTCAGCACGCACTCCCTTCTACGCGCCTCACGTCACGCCACTAACGACGGGCTCCGCACGCGCTGCCTCTCGGGGGCTATCTTCCCCGAACGTTGGCCGAGCGGAGTTCCGTGTCAGCAGGACTTCATGCTTCAGTCTCCAGCAGGCTGTTCTGTTAGGAAACCCTCTCACCTGAAAGGAAGTCAGGGCTGTGGAACCACCGCGGGAGAGCGGAGGATGCAGACGGGGCGGGGGCAGCATCCGTCCCTCAGTCAGCGGAAGGCCTGACTCTTTGCCCCCTCCGCCCTGGCTCGACTTCCAGGGAGCAGTTTTGCTCTTGGTCTCCCAGCCACTCCCGCGCCCCTCTCCTCCCGGCATCCTCGGA